ACATATATTCATTATCATTACTACTTGGCGGTATGTAAACAACACAAATAAAAAATAGAAATCTTTTATGTAGGTACACAGTAGCACAAACTATTTCGAACACCTGATTGTCCACGCTGACGTCATCGGGCAGCGGCACTCGCCGCAACTCAAAACGAGGTGTGGCCACGAGACACGCGCCGCCGTGCTTACGCCCGTCCGTTCGATCACACCGAAAAATGGTGTACCCTGGTGGAATTATTTCTGCGTCATAGATGGAATCATTACATCCTGTTTCCGTCATGGCAAACAAGTCTACACTACCGGTGGATATATTTGTGTGACATTCTTCTAATTTTGTCCGCAGCCCTCGAACGTTTTGGTACAATATTTCCACCGAGTTATGTAGGATATCCGGGGTTGTTTGCTCTCCGAAACCACACCCATTCCGCAAATTCAATGTTAACTGCCCAGTTTTCTGATTGGCATAACTTTTCATATTTACTTTCAGGAACTCCTATAATAAAGGAAGCATAATCTCTTTCTGTCTTGTGCTTAATTTGTTCCACCTTAACGGGTACTTCTTCCGCATATATCTTCTTGACATGCTTTTCTACGCTTTCCGCTGTCGTTCCCTTCTGCAATCGCCACACATGTAAATATTTCTTCCTTTCCGTTCCTTGTATATCAATCACATTACTATTCCCGCCCTTCTTCACTTCGTTATTCGTAAATCTGTTTTTTTTCCTGGTAAAGGTAGTCCACTGTCCCTCCTTTTCAGGATGTTCCCTGTCCCCGCTTACCATAGTTTTAGTCTTCCCATTATTTCTTACTTTTGTCTGCTCTTTATTTATTAATACTGTCACCGATTTCGTGGCCACACACTCATTTACTTCATCATTTCCATCTACCTGCTTTTCTTTGACAACTTTAGCAAATGATTTTTTTAGGTCTTTAGAGCCTTGTTCGGCCTGGATTTGGCCTTGACTGTTCTTCAAACTTGCTTCCAGTTTCTCATTTTCTCCCATAAGAACCCTTATTCTTGTTTCTAGCATTTCGACTTTATTTGCCTTTTGTTGCACTACCTTCAAAATTTGTTTCAACTCTTTCAACTCAGTTTCTGTATTTATAAATTTATTTTTCAACTGAATGAACTCACTTCGTTGCTCTTCCAGCTGCTTCTTAACTTCCCCACGAAACTCTCGTATTTCATTGAGAAGTTGAATCTCCGTGTTGAGTATTATTTCACCGGTTTTTCGATGACTGCCTCGATCAGCGGTATTCACACTGCTGCACTGTGAAACCGACTTGTTGGTGCTTGTAGTTCCTCGAACAGGCGTGTTAGTATTACCACGCTTCGGCATAGTGCAGACACATTCTGGACAACTCCACTTAACTTTATATTCTCGCGTAAATGCGTTGAATTTTTCCTCAGTCAATGCCAGACACTTGAGATCAAATTTCTTCTTGCATTTTTCTTGTGAGCACTCCATAAAAAATGAAGTATTCAAAGCAGCATCACAGCCGCTACATTTCGTATCCATTTATAACGTAAAACAGCGAAATATTTTATTTTATTTATTACACAATACACTCCGGCTACGTAACACGTCCGCTCACGTCACGATCGAGTGAAGTAGAATTGATCCACTCAGTCCCTTCCAACTGATGATTTCAAAAATATCAATTCGTACATCTGGCACCTGGAAGATAAGACATAAACAGACATTTCGGAAGAGAAGCGTGCATATCGTACGAAGGATGGAGAGGCGTTGCGCGGTGCGCGGTGCGACCCGTGGCCCGTGCGGCCGGCGTTTAGCACTGAGTGATACAACCGCGAGGACCGCACATAATTCAAGTTTTAGAGGTACAATCAAGAGTTACTGAGCGCCGGAGAACGACTACGTATGGATACGGCATCTTGAGTCACTAAGTACTGATGCTGATGCTGGTAATACACTGCCATCTCCACGGACTGCCTCGTTGGCCGAGTGGTCGCAAGTGCGACTTCTGGGCAAGGGGTCTCGGGTTCGATTCCCGGGTGCGGCAAAGTAGATATTACTGGGTTTTTTAAAAATTCTCAGTAGTAGCACGGTGTCTGGAAATGTGCCCGGTATATGACAATAGGCTCACCCCCTATTACATGGGACTCATAACATAAATAGTGAAAAGTGGGTGTTACTTCTGTGTGCACCTCTGCTTACCCCTTGGGGGATAAAAGGCGTGATGTTATGTTATGTTATGTTGTTAGCTCTTCCACCCGCCATGGATTTGACTCACATAGCTAATCACTGCTTTTAAATAATATTTTTTTTATCAATAGGGTCGCAACTTTTGTAGCTCTCCCTGGTACTTACAAAATATTTACTGGACGTTACTCACAATGTAATGATTACAATTATTGCCTCCGCTGCACCGAGTAGGTCGGTGGAACAGGTCGGCTGGGCCACGCGTTTTATTTTATCGTGTCACCAAAAGTTAGCGACAGTTGAATTACCATTCAGATCATAGATATATATATAGTGTTACATGACGACGACACAGAACATAAACCGATGTGACAAGTCACCGAGTTATAGCCGCTACCTGTACTCGCACGAGCAGTGACACAGCTCTCCGTGTATTGAATATTTGCCGCTGTTACTGTGACATCGACGCTGGACAGACCGGTGCACCGCGCAGTGCCAGACTCGGTGCGGACGTGGTGGGTGACGTCACAGTCGCTCGCACACTCAAACGCTTCGTTGATTAAAAAACTTCATCAACGCATCTCTTTTTAGTTTTTTCCACGGCAAGCGCCTTCTTCTGGCTAAACTTTGCCAATAAAAAGTTGTTCTAAGTGCTGTGTGGAGCGCACACACGCGCCCCCGCGCCCCTGCGCCCCCGGGCCCTACGCCACTGCGCCCCCACGCTCTATCAGACTGTGCGTAGTCTGTATCGGAGTCGTCGCATCGGCTGCAGAAAAAACACGGCACCACTCGCTGGGTGCGAGCTCTCCGCTATCTGACTGGTGGAATACACTGTTACTTCATTTGGTTTCAATATTGTAATGTCAGGGTAGCCCGGAGGCTTCACACGCCCGCTTCTCGTGCAAGAGGGTGCGGGTTCAGAACCTGTATGTACCTCTGAGTTAACCCAGTTAAGGAGTTAGAAGTAAGTGTAATGTGTATATATGTATAATTATAACAAGTTAAGAAAAACAAAAATGAAACATGTATGACAATGGCACGGGACCGTGGAGATTAAACTGTAAAATACTCGGTTGGAGGGGTTGAAGCGAGCGCCGGGGCGGTCATATCCCCTCTGTTCGAACATTATATTATTATGAAATCTACGTCCGGCAAGTTATTATGCTAATGCAAGTGGATAGTGAACAGAAGTCCCGCCGAGCCCTTTTGTGAACAGAACAAATTGTTTTATATTCCGTGGAAATTGGCGACGAGCAGGCTCTGTGGCAGGGAGCCACTGCCTCACTGCCTGCCGGGAGCAGGGAGGGGGAGGGCCGGGAGGACGGTGGCTTCGTGGCGCCGGATACTCACAGTGAACTCACTGATGACAGTTTTATGAACTCGACATTTACATTTAAATTGAAAGTTAGGATTTGGACGAGCCGCGACTGAAAAAACCTTTGTTCTTGATAGTAAGTACACTATGTGCACTGCAGGGAGAAAGAT